CATGACTGGTAAACATGAGGAGGTTAGACATGACTGGTAAACATGAGGAGGTAAGACATGACTGGTAAACATGAGGAGGTAAGACATGACTGGTAAACATGAGGAGGTTAGACATGACTGGTAAACATGAGGAGGTTAGACATGACTGGTAAACATGAGGAAGTAAGACATGACTGGTAAATATGAGACGGTTAGACATGACTGGTAAACATGAGGAGGTAAGACATGACTGGTAAACATGAGGCAGTTAGACATGACTGGTAAACATGAGGCGGTTAGACATGACTGGTAAACATGAGGAGGTAAGACATGACTGGTAAACATGAGGAGGTTAGACATGACTGGTAAACATGAGGAGGTAAGACATGACTGGTAAACATGAGGAGGTTAGACATGACTGGTAAACATGAGGAGGTTAGACATGACTGGTAAACATGAGGAGGTAAGACATGACTGGTAAACATGAGGAGGTTAGACATGACTGGTAAACATGAGGAGGTAAGACATGACTGGTAAACATGAGGAGGTTAGACATGACTGGTAAACATGAGGAGGTTAGACATGACTGGTAAACATGAGGAGGTAAGACATGACTGGTAAACATGAGGCGGTTAGACATGACTGGTAAACATGAGAAGGTAAGACATGACTGGTAAACATGAGGAGGTAGACACTGTAAACATGAGGAGGTTAAGACTGGTAAACATGAGGAGGTTAGACATGACTGGTGAGGAAGGTTAGACATGAGGAGGTAAGACATGACTGGTAAACATGAGGAGGTTAGACATGACTGGTAAACATGAGGAGGTTAGACATGACTGACATGACTGGTAAACATGAGGAGGTAAACATAGACATGACTGGTAAACATGAGGAGGTAAGACATGACTGGTAAACATGAGGCGGTTAGACATGACTGGTAAACATGAGGAGGTTAGACATGACTGGTAAACATGAGGAGGTTAGACATGACTGGTAAACATGAGGAGATAAGACATGACTGGTAAACATGAGGAGGTTAGACATGACTGGTAAACATGAGGAGGTTAGACATGACTGGTAAACATGAGGAGGTTAGACATGACTGGTAAACATGAGGAGGTTAGACATGACTGGTAAACATGAGGAGGTTAGACATGACTGGTAAACATCAGGCGGTTAGACATGACTGGTAAACATGAGGAGGTAAGACATGACTGGTAAACATGAGGAGATAAGGCACGACTGGTAAACATGAGGAGGTAAGACATGACTGGTAAACATGAGGAGGTTAGACATGACTGGTAAACATGAGGAGGTAAGACATGACTGGTTAACATGAGGAGGTAAGACATGACTGTATACATGAGGAGATAAGACATGACAGGTAAACATGAGGAGGTTAGACATGACTGTATACATGAGGAGGTTAGACATGACTGGTAAACATGAGGAGGTTAGACATGACTGGTAAACATGAGGAAGTTAGACATGACTGGTAAACATAAGGAGGTAAGACATGACTGGTAAACATGAGGATGTAAGACATGACTGGTAAACATGAGGCGGTTAGACATGACTGGTAAACATGAGGCGGTTAGACATGACTGGTAAACATGAGGAGGTAAGACATGACTGGTAAACATGAGGAGGTAAGACATGACTGGTAAACATGAGGAGGTTAGACATGACTGGTAAACATGAAGAGGTTAGACATGACTGGTAAACATGAGGCGGTTAGACATGACTGGTAAACATGAGGAGGTTAGACATGACTGGTAAACATGAGGAGGTAAGACATGACTGGTAAACATGAGGATGTAAGACATGACTGGTAAACATGAGGAGGTAAGACATGACTGTATACATAAGGCGGTTAGACATGACTGGTAAACATGAGGAGGTAAGACATGACTGGTAAACATGAGGAGGTTAGACATGACTGGTAAACATGAGGAAGTTAGACATGACTGGTAAACATGAGGAGGTTAGACATGACTGGTAAACATGAGGAGGTAAGACATGACTGGTAAACATGAGGAGGTAAGACATGACTGTATACATGAGACGGTTAGACATGACTGGTTAACATGAGGAGGTAAGACATGACTGGTAAACATGAGGAGGTTAGACATGACTGGTAAACATGAGGAGGTAAGACATGACTGGTAAGACATGACTGGTAAACATGAGGAGGTAAGACATGACTGGTAAACATGAGGAGGTTAGACATGACTGGTAAACATGAGGAGGTTAGACATGACTGTATACATGAGGAGGTAAGACATGTCTGGTAAACATGAGGAGATTAGACAGGACTGGTTAACATGAGGAGGTAAGACATGACTGTATACATGAGGAGGTTAGACATGACTGGTAAACATGAGGAGGTTAGACATGACTGGTAAACATGAGGAAGTTAGACATGACTGGTAAACATGAGGAGGTTAGACATGACTGGTAAACATGAGGAGGTAAGACATGACTGGTAAACATGAGGAGGTTAGACATGACTGGTAAACATGAGGAGGTTAGACATGACTGGTAAACATGAGGAGGTTAGACATGACTGGTAAACATGAGGAGGTAAGACATGACTGGTAAAGATAAGACATGACTGGTAAACATGAGGAGGTTAGACATGACTGGTAAACATAAGGAGGTTAGACATGACTGGTAAACATGAGGAGGTAAGACATGACTGGTAAACATGAGGAGGTAAGACATGACTGTATACATGAGGCGGTTAGACATGACTGGTAAACATGAGGAGGTTAGACATGACTGGTAAACATGAGGAAGTTAGACATGACTGGTAAACATGAGGAGGTAAGACATGACTGGTAAACATGAGGAAGTTAGACATGACTGGTAAACATGAGGAGGTTAGACATGACTGGTAAACATGAGGAAGTTAGACATGACTGGTAAACATGAGGAGGTAAGACATGACTTGTAAACATGAGGCGGTTAGACATGACTGGTAAACATCAGGCGGTTAGACATGACTGGTAAACATGAGGAGGTAAGACATGACTGGTAAACATGAGGAGGTAAGGCACGACTGGTAAACATGAGGAGGTTAGACATGACTGGTAAACATGAGGAGGTAAGACATGACTGGTAAACATGAGGAGGTTAGACATGACTGGTAAACATGAGGCGGTTAGACATGACTGGTAAACATGAGGAGGTAAGACATGACTGGTAAACATGACTGGTAAACATGAAGAGGTTAGACATGACTGGTAAACATGAGGCGGTTAGACATGACTGGTAAACATGAGGAGGTTAGACATGACTGGTAAACATGAGGAGGTTAGACATGACTGGTAAACATGAGGCGGTTAGACATGACTGGTAAACATGAGGAGGTAAGACATGACTGGTAAACATGAGGAGGTTAGACATGACTGGTAAACATGAGGAGGTTAGACATGACTGGTAAACATGAGACATGGTAAACATGAGGAGGACATGACTGGTAAACATGAGGATGTAAGACATGACTGGTAAACATGAGGAGGTAAGGCACGACTGGTAAACATGAGGAGGTTAGACATGACTGGTAAACATGAGGAAGTTAGACATGACTGGTAAACATAAGGAGGTAAGACATGACTGGTAAACATGAGGAAGTTAGACATGACTGATAAACATGAGGAGGTAAGACATGACTGGTAAACATGAGGAGGTTAGACATGACTGGTTAACATGAGGAGGTAAGACATGACTGGTAAACATGAGGGTAGACATGTAAACAAGAGGTTAGACATGACTGGTAAACATGAGGCGGTTAGACATGACTGGTAAACATGAGGAGGTTAGACATGACTGGTAAACATGAGGAGGTAAGACATGACTGTATACATGAGGATGTTAGACATGACTGGTAAACATGAGGAGGTTAGACATGACTCATAAACATGAGGCGGTTAGACATGACTGGTAAACATGAGGAGGTAAGACATGACTGGTAAACATGAGGAGGTTAGACATGACTGGTAAATATGAGGAAGTTAGACATGACTGGTAAACATGAGGAGGTTAGACATGACTGGTAAACATGAGGAAGTTAGACATGACTGGTAAACATGAGGAGGTTAGACATGACTGGTAAACATAAGGAGGTTAGACATGACTGGTAAACATCAGGAGGTTAGACATGACTGGTAAACATGAGGAGGTTAGACATGACTGGTAAACATGAGGAGGTTAGACATGACTGGTAAACATGAGGCGGTTAGACATGACTGGTAAACATGAGGAGGTAAGACATGACTGTATACATGAGGCGGTTAGACATGACTGGTAAACATGAGGAGGTAAGACATGACTGGTAAACATGAGGAGGTTAGACATGACTGGTAAACATGAGGAGGTAAGACATGACTGGTAAACATGAGGAGGTTAGACATGACTGGTAAACATGAGGAGGTAAGACATGACTGAGGAGGTTAGACATGACTGGTAAACATGAGGAGGTAAGACATGACTGGTAAACATGAGGAGGTTAGACATGACTGGTAAACATGAGGAGGTAAGACATGACTGGTAAACATGAGGAGGTTAGACATGACTGTATACATGAGGCAGTTAGACATGACTGGTAAACATGAGGAGGTAAGACATGACTGTATACATGAGGAGGTAAGACATGACTGGTAAACATGAGGAGGTTAGACATGACTGGTAAACATGAGGCGGTTAGACATGACTGGTAAACATGAGGAGGTGAGACATGACTGGTAAACATGAGGAAGTTAGACATGAATGGTAAACATGAGGAGGTAAGACCTGACTGGTATCTGGTATACATTTTCAGTGATGGCTTTGTATGTATCTGAAACTATTGATAAACATCTCAAAAAAAAGTTCCTATCTCTGAATCAGGAGTCTTGAATTTCGTAGGCTTACATATTTACTGCATGGAGCAATTTGCTGACATTTGCCCCAGAGTTTTAATTTCAGTTGATCAGGTTAATATATGTTGACATTCAATCAAATTCATACAAAATTACCTTTTGATACGGATCCTCTCCTTGGTCTCCCTTTGCAGATTTTAGCAAGAGAACAAATTTTGAGTCTGAATGCAGGGTGGCATGGGATGAAGAAGTACATCCCAAAGACTGTTGATTTGGTTCTGCAGGGTCAGCACCTGGATTTTCAGAGGAACAAGCACTTGCATCCTGGTTCATCGACATTATGGAATAACCATTATCTACAATTAAAATGACACAAATCATTTACATACATGCAAAAAATATTCATCTTCAGCAATTGTGATTCATTTTGCTTCTCCGTTTTCTCATATACTTCATAGGGTGACCCATGAACGTTCGAGATGGGAAAACTCTATCTAACAAAGGGTAAGGAAAGATATATGGCATATGCTATGATGCTACTCACATTTGTGGAGTGTCCTGACATTTTATGTAACATAACAGAGAAACAACACTACAGCTTTTTAGAAATTTAACGAGATCAAAAAATACTTTCACATCATGTCTATTTAATTATGAAAAATTTGTATTTCTATGACCCTAATCAATTTTGCCCCAAAGATACCAGACATAGGAGCATTATGTTATGCATGAGATTTCTACTAACATGCATCAGTGTCAAAGTAATTACATGTTACACACCAACATCTATAATGACGGCTGCTATACAAAATTTCTCCAGAGTTTTTTTTAACCTACCAAAAAATAAGCTCTCACAAGTGGAAGGTTTACAAGGACAAGTCTAGAGAAAATCCATATAATGAAGGTCATTGTAAATTTGCTGGAAATTGAAGTTGTTGGAAAAAATTGAATGGAAATACTTAGTTTACAACATTAAATTGCTTTAACACATACACATATATTAGTAGAAAAAATATTTATCTTTAAATTGACGTATCATTCATAACTATACATTGCATGAATGATGATCAATCAATATTTTTTTCTATTATGACCCATATACATTTATTCCAAACAAGATACAAGACAAAAAAAACCGATTTTGACCAGCAAGTTCAGTCAAAACCTTTAATTAAGGGAACGCCTCTTTAAATAGAGAAACCTAAGTGTACATAAAGGGTCACAAGTCGTTCCTTGAATGTAATAATTAGCATATTCTATCATTTATTCTTTTCAGTTCAAAACACGTAGCTGAATATAAGGAGTTGACTATTACGGCATACAATGGCCATGTATCAGGGAATATTTTACGTCCATGCTATTGGTGAAAATACATCAAATATACATATCCGGATATGAGTCGAACGCGCCCTCCGCGTTCTCGATAGGGTGTTTACACAATATAAGTTGACAGCATATGCCAGAATTCACAACAGTGTAAACATGTAATTTATAACATTGATATGCAACATTTTCGTTCAATAGTGTGAGTGCCGAAAAAAGTGGTGCAATCGAATTGACAATGTACAGTGTTGTTAGCAGCCGATTTTTACTTTGTACTTACAGACCGATAGGGCAGGGATATTCTAAACAATGGTCCGGACGGACCAGAAATTAAGGCTGCGGACACGTATTATTTTGAGTATTCCAAATTTGATACTGCAACAACACGTTACAAATAAACCTAAGTAAGATTTCCAATATTAAGTTAGAGTAATGGCGAAAAGAGTATCACGAAGGATGATATAATATTAGTAAAAAAAAAATAATAATAAACAATACAAATATATATGTGTTTCCGGTTTCCCGAACGTTCCTACTTTTTTGCTACCGATCCTAATTTTTTCAACGTTTTGGAATATATATATATACAGATGTACAAACTTTAATTAAGGTTTTATCTCTGAATTCAACATATTAACATTTCATAATACACTCATGTGACACTTACAAATGTACCTGACACATTGGTCAGTGAGCAAGCAACTTACCGACCCTATTTTTTAGGTATTATGAGGAAAAGCTATATCTGTAAATGTAGAAGTTTCACTTCACAATTTAAAAAAAAAATGAATGTGGAAATATGTTCTCTTGGTTATGATAAATAATTACTAACATTACATATTAATAATCTTCGATCCGGAAATACCATGGTAACTTTTTTATTTTTTGTTGGACTTAAAATTTATTATAGAATGTGACATTCTGCAGCTCTGAATTTCTTAGTCAGCTTTCAGTACTAATATTTGTTTCGTATTTTTTCGTGTCAAAATGTACTATGCAGTTTACAATACTATTTTTTCCACTTAATTTTACGTTCGGTTACCATTTATATCATACAATTAACGTAACTTTATTATTTGTTTATTGTAATAATTTGTATTTAATAGATAAAGTACAGCAAACAATTGATAGCTTACATCTGGAACATGGGCAGGTTTGGTTACATGATCTTGGTATCGTTTGCAGGGTGGCCAATACTTGACTGGTTTGCTTATGTCTGCACGTGCATAAAGAAATACTTTATCGTATTAGCAGTTTTCCTGGGGCTTTTTGCACATAATGTTCCAAACTTTAAAAAGTTCCATCTTACCGTCATATACGGTAGAAGTTTGTTTGATTTATGTTTGTTGATAAAAAATACTAAGGTTTTTTTTAGTAAAATATCTAATAAATGAATGTGAGATGAAATTGTTTTACAGATGTAGATCCAGAGAGGTCATAAGGTCACCAATTTATCATACTTTGTCACATGACTGTGTTAGTCCAAATCACGCTTATCAATGCATTACATGTACCTAAGCATAAATTGACAAGCAGAACTATTTCATATCGACTTTATTTCAGATGTATATCATATTATCTGGATCCCATGTGATCAAGAAAATCAAGTCGTTATCCAACGTAGTGTAAACATGTTACTGACATATGTCTTGTTACCACACGGGAGCACACAAATAGAACAATATATAACGCCACCCAAAATTAGATTTTCCACTTGCTATTTCGCGAAGTTACAGTGCTTTGTGTCGCAAAATATAAACGTTTATTTCACTACGAAACTTCATTCGCGAACGTCCACTATCGGCATTTTTCTTTGCAACAAATTTGTAATATAAAGGGCAACTTAATCTGATATAGAGTTACATTTACATGAAGCAGTACTTTACTCGTAACACCTGGTCTATTTTCCAAGAAATTCTTTAGGAGTCTCCGTCCGCGTAAATCTTTATCATAAAATTCATATTTCCCTAGTTTTATCGAGTTTGAGTTTATGATTCTGTTGACACGTTAGTATTTTATCGTTATTGATATAACAGTGGTATACTAATGGTTTGAAGTTCATCGTGTGAATTTTCGACCACACGATGTCCTTTATCAACATTAAGGTTACGATATATTTTGAGAATATAAGGAGGGGTACTTTTTCTTCAAATACAAACTTTTTTGTTCATAACGTATGTACTTTAAGATGGCACAGTCTTATTGGATTCTTACACAACAGACTTCACATCATTCTGGAAATACCTCAACCAACTGGTACATTGTAATAAGGATAAATGAAGTATATCAACAAAGACTGCATTCGATGTCAACTGGTGACCAGAAATATTTCGTAAATTATTTCATGAGTCATCTATATTAAAGTGTTCTAACTCATATAACTATATCCCGTGAGCGTCGTTTCCACAAGCCCTCGACTTTCATCATTCCGCATTTCCGTTTCTTTATACAGTGTCTTTGTTTGACAACAGTTCAGGGATTATGTCTGATGTTGTATGTGTTTGAGGTCAAAACGAGCGGATTTATTTTCACGTTGCCACCGTTGCCGTGACCTGGATATATGAAGAAAAAGACGCGTTTAAAACAAAGACATGTTGAAAAGGTAATCAGCGTTTGTAAATGATTTGGGGAAATTATGACGTGTGGTATGGCGATTCTGTAAGTTCCGATTGCAGCTATTTAATAATTTGAGTATCTTTCCATATCAATTTATTTCCTCTTTAACTATATATATATGTACGTATGATCACATACAGACATGTTGTTATTGCTATGTTACACAAACACAGTTTTATATACATTGTACTAAACAAGCTTTCACCCAAACATGGTGTATTATATTCATCATGCTGTACAAACTTATACATAAAAACAGTGTATCTAAAAAAACTTGTACCTAAACACAGTTATCATATACATTGTACTAAACAGACATTGACCTTAACAGTATGTACATGTTACTTAAAGATTCTTTGTGTATCGATAGAATATTCAATTTTCAATTCGGGTACGACATAAAGACCGTGTAAAGAGGAAATGTTTGTCAAAAATTTTGAACCATCTCTAAATGAAAGTTAACGTTTTGAAAAAAAAATCGTTTACACATATTTGATCGACAACAAACGCTCATAAATGTTATGTCAATATACTGCGAACGATGACGTCATAATGTCATTACCAAGACATTGTAATAAATGTATCCCCAGAAGATGGCCGTTAGGCCTGAAAACTTTAGCAGAATACATATGTCGTGGTGATTTTATTCTTTTCAAATATGTATGCACGCGTTGTCGAACATCTATAGATTATAAGCTAATAGAAACATATTCCTCACAAGTATTTTATGATACCTTTAAATACGTATTAACCTATTGTGACATTACGTTTCTAACAAATATTCTGAAGTAATGGTTATGTAACACTTCTTTTTATCGGATACTCTTTATGTTGACCATCTTTCCGGTTGTGGGAGATGGTCGACAATGACATTGGACATGTTTAATCGAGAAGTAGAGGGTATGATGATAATAATGTTTGCGACATGTTCCGTTTTGCCTTTTCAACACTTGACTGCGCATCGTGTTAAAACAAAAAAACATGATCTAATCTCCAGTATATGCATAAAAAACAAGCATACAATCCCCTAAATATATGGTTGATGAATCATATTCGCTGAACTTCCCGTTTTTATAAGGATATTTCTATATAGTCATAAAAAATTGGATATAAACAAACAACCGACTACTTACTAACTAGTACTATTAATCCAAAATTTGAATGTCCATCTCTTCTTTTTGCCGAGAACAAAACTATTTGATATCAATGTTTACTTCATATTACCTTACATTAGGGAATCTGTCAGTGTTTTATCTTCGAAGAACAATATGGTTCTCTGTTTGACTTACTCATTTTCTGATAAAGAGTAGATGGTTGATGAATCTTATTTCAGTGAACTTCCTTGATCAACAGTGTCCCATTTAGAATGTTTGTCAATGTGTTCTCTTTTCGGCAGAGACGAACGGTAGGTATTAGAAATGCAACTTTGTTCTCTGTGGGACGTGTGTAAAACGAGCTGAAATATATCATTAATGATAACTGAAATACATTCGATGACATGTAAATGTAAAATTTTATCTTTTTCTTCTTTAGTTTCTATGTCCTTATTGCTGCTATGACATGGAGAACAGTGACAGCACCAAGCAGCAGCGATGGTAAGATTCTTACAAGAAATATACATGTATCGTTCACTACTTTCACTAGTTGTTATCTCCTTTGTGTTACAAGTCTTTACGATAAGCTTTTACATTTTTATATTTCTTTTACTTTGTTTACATTATTATTTCCCTATCGTAGGGCTGTTGTTGAGTATTTCCTCAAGATTGCAAAAGAGTAATTGACATGTTTCCGGTAATAAAATATGTGACAGAAAGTACCCATTCGCTTTATTCAGGGTTCGTATTCATGAAACCTCTTCCTCCAATATATGTTTTGTGCTTCTGCGAAAAAACTGTCTGTTATTCCGGGAAGAACATTCATAACTTGTGAAAAGGAACTATTTCATGTTAAACATATTCTGGTGACTGTACCAGAAAAGTAGTGCGGAAACATATTGATCTTTAAGCTTTTATCTACTTTTTTGAAATGAAACCTTTTAAAAAATCATCCACAGAAATATTAATTCTTGAATATTTTTACATTGAGAAATACATTATTTTTGAAGGTTATGTATTCTTTAGTTTATACAGTTCGTGAGTGTTCTGCAAAACCTCTACAATGTCCTTTCGAAGCTTCATTTTCCAAGCATCCGTTTTCCAGATTTTAATACGAAAGAAATCCTATTAGTGTCTCAGTCGCCATTTTGAAAATAAAACAACAAACAAATCAATAAACAAACAAAATTCGTGTTATAACGTAAAGAGAAGCGCAATAACGTGAAGTGAAAGTGCAACACGTGAACGTGAAAAGGGGAAACAAGAGGTCTAAAGTGCGTTAAAGCACACATGGTTTTGTTTTATCCAAGCTTACGAAAAAAAGATTTGAAAGTCCCCTGGATACCGAGAAACAATATAAAAACTCCTTTCCCTCAAGAATGCCGTTGACTAAATTTGGTCAAAATCTATTCAGTCGTTCTTCGGACCGGACCCTTAACATAACCCTTAATAACGAGGACATTAAAATGCTTTCCTAATTGTTGTCAATGTAAGTGTGTGCTAAACAGCTTTCATATTCGTTAAGGGTAGTTTATGTTTTACAAATATTTAGTACAGTATTTAACAAGTAATCTATCAAATATCATTTTCACTCATTCAGTAGCGTTAGGCGCATGAAAGATAAAAACTCATTAAACTCAAAATGGCTAATATCAACATAACAAAATGATATGTTCGGTAAAAAGCAATCTTCCTTGTGCAGAAACCATTCGTTTTACTTTGTGTTTCCTTTTTCTTTTTATTTTCTGCTATGTTAATTATGACTAGGTATTAATCATATGTTTGCTCATATTTTAAAAATATAAATGATATCAAATTCATTTTTAAGATGCAGTGATAATCATAAGCGCAAAGCCAACTCAACAAGTTAGGTTTGACTGTACAAGACCGAGCGATATCAAGGTAAGATCATGAGAGATATAGAAGTATCATTTTCTTTTCCCTCTTGAAATAACGCCTTCTCAGTTTTGCTTAATTCACATAATAATGAAGTACGTGTTTAGACTCCTGACTTAGGAACCCAATGACAATGGTTCAAGCGTGTACAGGAATTAAACAGATGCTATATAGTTTAAAGTCGTCGTTCTGTGTCGATCGGTGTGTTTTATTTTCAATGGATTGATTGTCTGACTGTTCGAAGTAAACATCTTACATTTATTGACCTTAGTCGACAGTGTAAAACCACTTTTTCTACTTTTCAGTATATGTTTTGGATAATTTCAACAAGTCTTGGAAACCAAAAAATCGTAAGGCAATCTTGTCAAGAGCTCGTCGATGATCCGATTGACGTCAGAAAGATATGTATAGACACTAATTATGGTTATGACCTCGTTATAACGAAAGTAAACGAAGATGACGAAGGCACCTATAGATGCAAGACTGCAAAAACTGAGGATGCCCTGAAAGTGTATGATTTAAGAATAGAAAGTAAGTTTAGTTATTTTTTCTCTTAGAGAAAAGACAGAAAAGTCAGTATTCTGTTATACATTATCTTTCATATGTATAAAACAATTTACTGTTATATTTTTTCCAAAACTATTAGTGGGAAATCATAGAATGTTTCAAGAAAACAAACATTTGATTTTCTTTTCTTTTTCATTTCATTCACAATTGTTACATTTTGTATATCAAAATTTGTCTTCTGAACACAGAATTGACCTTTGTTATGAAAATACATTTTAAGGAGAAGCCTTCATCCACGATAAAGCCTACACTAAAGATGCCGTCATACAAGAAGGCGACACAGCGAAGTTATGGTGTAATGCTTCAGGATTTCCCATTCCGTCTGTTTCTTGGGAAATATCAGAAACTGACTCAAATGGAAAAGTATCATTCCATGAATTAGGCAAGTTCACCATTAATAAATAAACTGCGTTGTGTCCTAGTATAGAAACATTCTATCTAACGATATTATAATAAGGACTTTTCACCAACTGGTGAAAAGTCCTATCGTTTTTTTTTATGTTTCTTATTCTTATTATTCTTCTTCCAATATTGTGGGTTCGTAATCTTTTAAATTGTAAAAGCTAAACATACAGTCTATTCATCTATTTGTAGATACGTATATGAAGTTGTCGATGCCGATTTTTTAAGTAGGTCAAAAATCCAATATGGCCACCATGACGTCATAAGTTAAAAACTTAAAAACGGCATTATCTCGCAAACCATTGATTGTACAGAGTTTGTGCAATGATATTATTTGTAGAGAATTTCCATATCTAACTTTTTCTCATGCCATATTAATACAAAATATGTCAAATAAAAAAGCTCGCTGTGGGGTAAAGTTTTCAAAATTTAACAAAATTGTTTCTTTTTTTTCAATTTTGAATTTTCTTGAAATTTTCTTCTTCAGATCGATGCAGAACGTCCTTCCGATGAATTTAGTGTTTTCATTTCTTCTGAAAAGTTTACCATTTCCGCTGTACGCCATTTTGAAATTTTCTTTGATCTTTTAAAAATGCCGACAAATAGGAAAAAACTCGTTCTAGTTATTATTGTTCTTTTTGTTAAATCTTCATTTGAAGATATTCTAATTCTTGTCATTGCTGAAATAACCGGCCTATTTGATTGCACTACAGGACATGTGGAACTTTCCTGATGTATATAGCAACATAATTCAGACCGATCATGTTTTGTTTACTCTTTGTCTGCTATTCTTAATTATTCTTACCTTCTGCTAGTAGTGATGCAAGCATTGACTGTTTCTTTAAAAAAAAATAGTTCAAAGTACATTATTACTTTGAGTTTGCTAGCAGGAATGCTTCCCTTGAATATCTGGTATAAGTTGTCGAACATGCAATTGGAGATATTTTGGGGGGAAAAAACCACAGCAAACCTACTTCCCATAGGTATTGGAACCAAAACCTCGTAGACACACAAAAGAATAGCCCATTCCAATACATATTTAGAGACAGATTCGTACAGCTGTTTCTACTGCTAACTGATATGAAAGACGTGAAACAATTATTTTGTTACCTGAACTATCCAAACTCATTTTATATAGCTAACCTAATGATAAGAAATAAGAACCTAATGATAATACACCTGTCTATCTGAACGTATGTAAGACATGTTGGGAATAAGGAAATAATTCTTCAATTGCGATCAGAAATACGTTTTACATTATTTTTTTCGCTTTTTTTCGTTCACACGCTTTACTCTGGTCAACAATTTTGAATGTTTACTGGTGTAGCAGTTTCTCGGACATCAGTTCTAAAATACTTTAATTAACATTTATAAAGGGAGTCAGGTAACAATAATATTCGTTTCTGCTTCCTCTTATACTGAAGACTAATATACATTTACTGATGGTATTATTATCCAGGTATGCGAGGAAGACTACTTCAGATCCGGAACGTGTCCCGACACTGCAGTAAAGCCTATCGTTGTATTGCTTCTAATAAACTATCTCGGACTCCTGCAATACAGAATATCAAGATTCGGGTGAACTGTAAGTTGAGGTCGTAATAAAAATAAAGCGAATTTATGAACGAAATGATACAGGATGTAGTGTACACTGTTAACAACTTGACAATATAACAAGTAATTTGCGAAACAGGTAAGAAGACAGACAATAAACATAGAATAGTAATGATTATTTAGGGTAGGAATAGATATGGAGGATATGTTTAAAACTATTGTTTCTCGAGAGGAAATTAATCCTAAATATGATATCGTGAGATACTTAATGACACGACTGGTTGAGTAGGATTTTAAAAGTAAAAAGTCATACCAAGTCTCATTCGTGTTTACAAAATGTTTAAATCATTACACACGGATAGTTAAATGGTATCACAGAATATTTTATCAGCAAATACATTACCTTAGACTTTGTATCAACATATTTAAAACTTAAATGTGGAGAGAACTCGAAGAAATAAACAAATACGTTGTTAAAAAGATAACTTTAAACATAGAACTTTCAAACAAGTTCTTTATAAAGTAAACAAAAATGCAACATCAGCTTCATCTCTGCTCATGATTACTTGTGAATACGGATTTATTCATTATGGGAAAGAATTTGAAACAGTGGATATTTCAGTATGGGATAGTACTCGGATAATAGAATATGCTTTTATGAAAAAGTAAGTGTAAATGTGGATATCAGTCATGTGACTAACTTAAGTTTTGGTTAACAATAAAGAACCCGAAAAAGATAGAAACCAGTGATGATCGACAACGTTAATATATAGACATGATTTTAGTGACATTAAAACATATCTTATCACTTTTCCTAAACAAATTAAATCATTCCAGGTTAACATGTGTCTTAATGGTATTCTTCTTTCACAAACAAAAAGGAGACATATCTAGAAAATAAGTTTTTCTGCATTACCTTGTCAAAAGTATGCTGTTCTGAGGGTCTTATCGTGATAAACGATCTGCTAAAGTTAGTATTCCGGAGCAATGAGAATGCCGATAGATAAACGGGAAATTGTAGAGGCGCAGGGGTGAATAAAATTGAGATCGTCTTTATCACGTTGCCGTTAATATAATGCCAATCTTAAACTAGATCAATGTTTCCATCTATCACTGTCGATTTCCATACTTTATTATTAGTGAAGGCAACTTCATCTTCCCAAATTTTTGCAATAATCCCACGCCGTTGGCGATTCTTGGGCTGGCAATAAACAACTGATTTTGTAAAAAAAAAACTTCCGCTTAGAAGTAAGACTGTTTTGTTTCTCAGAAATATTGATTATATTATGAAAACATTCTTACACCTTTGCAAATGTCACAAAATTAAATTAAAAAACTCGTTAGAAAAATTTGTTATGTCACTCGTCTAAAGCCTTGTGACAAAAAAATCATCATCAAACTCATTCGATACATTCTGTATTTTACCGATACTCATGTCAGATGATCTTTGTCTATATCATTGGTGATTTGATTGATTAAAATATATCAAAGTTTTAGAAACATCTTAAATGGATAACCATTACCTTCTATTTTTGACCTGCAATTGGCACTGCCATTAACGGAATAGACATGCTACATATATTTTGCTGTGATTGACATTGTCCATGTGTTTTATATATAACAGTCGATTTCCCAAATCAAATGTCATTAAGGTAAATGCACCTTTTCTGGTATCATATTGTTAGATTAATCTCGCAGACATTAGTATATACATGAATGACACAATTAAATCTCATTGTTTGTAGTTGGTGCTATGGCGGACATTGATGTCTACAGCGAGGAATACTGTGGCACCACTATGGAAGATCTTGGAGAGAAAATACACGTAAACAGTAGCGGAGACAATTATGTAGAAAAAAGGGAAGGATCAATGGTTTCCCTGGTGTGTAGCGGATCAGGTTCACCAAATGCTATCATCAAATGGCTTAAATTCCACCAAGGCAATCACGTCGAAATATCAACATTAGGACATGGTGATCAAATTGATAATAACTATCAAATTGGTTCATTTATGACCGAACTTTGTCCACCATTATTCAATGACGAACGGAGATTCCGACTTGCATTTCGAGCTTTTGATGATTATTTCGCCAAATATGTTTGCAGGGCTTCAAATAAATTCGGCAGTGACGAAATGACAATAACAATCAAACAGGTAACATAGAGTGATAAATATTGAAATATAGCCGTTGAGAATCATTCTCTACTTCTATTTCTTAACGAAGGTCATTTCTCCTTGAAAAATAATTCACATATCGAGGTTATTTTTATCATACATGTATGTGTCTGATTTGTTTTGAAATCTACAATTACCGACCTATTACCAATACCGGTAAACACACTAATATTTCAAAGTTTATAATTAACCAAGTGCTTTCCTGTAACAAACCCAGCATTCTATAACTCATAAACAACGCAGCGGTGTAAGGGATTCTAGAAACGAAATGCATCATCATCTATCAAACATATGTGACCACACAAATATGCATCTATTGCTTTAAAGACTAACACATACATCGTTTCCTACTGAACGTTTTTATGGTAAAAATTGCTTATTTCTAAGAGTAAGAACAGATTATATAATACAAAGGACATACACTTCCATATATAATTTTCACATTTTGTATTCATTTATTAAATCTTAATTTTATTCAGTCTTTTCAAAACATTAAAAGATACGGTATACTTGTTCAGATCCATCATTTGTAAACCTAAAGAATCTAACAAAACAAACGTGTCTATTGTTTTCGTCTTTTTTTATTTATCTCTCTCTTACCCCTTCCCACTCTGGGGAATGCCGTGTATCTTCAGAGTAACTCTTTGAATTGCGAATCAAATCCATTGCTTTTAGCAATACATATTTTACAGTACGAGAAAAATATATGTATTCCCACTCCCCTGCTTTGAATCTACTTTAATACAGGTATAAGATGCCCAACAGAGTGGTATTTATCCCACAAATAGCGATAAAAATTTGTTTACAGTATTTAGTGAGTGTTCATACCTTGTATTGGATGCGTGTTACTTGTAGTAGTTACCTCCCTTGTACCTGAAAACCTACAGTTGAGGACCAAAATGTTATAGCACACATTACATTTGGGAAGTGGAAATAACATCACTTCTTGCGTGACATGTTGTGACATGGTATCAGTTTATTGCTTCAGAGTCATACTTCCATCTGGTAACAGTTTTTTTTACATACATGTTTACAGTAATCCTTAAAACTATTCTGCTCAGAACTCAGATTCTATATTATGGGTGAAGTCTTCGAAGGAAACATTACGCCTTTTCTCTTTCTCGCTTATTTAAGCGACAATACGAAGGCTGATATTGACAAAGAATAAGAGCTAAGAGCGATGTATTATCCCATTGTGTTTTGAATCCTCACTAGGAGATTTAAATACTGTCTGGGTGGCATGGAGGTGTATAATAGTCCTGGAGATTTTGTATTGTATATGGTAAGTTACCTGTCATTTATGTGTTATTTAGACATTTCCACTTGTGGGGTTTCATTTTCTGTGTAAATTCAAAAGTATGTCGATCATAACAGACAACAGTAATTTTTTCCTCATTGCTAAAAATTAGACACAACAATTCTCAAAATGTGCCTTTTGTAGTCAGTATCTTATCAAAATCATACTATGATATAGATGGTAGTACATTTCTATCCAAAAAATATACAAATAAATGGTGAGGTAAAGATAAGTGAAGAATTAGCTGGCTCTGATAGTACTTGCTTGACTTGGATGTTACAGTATCATCACACTTTGATACTTGAAGTTAGCAATTCGGAAAAAGTTAATATAAGCATCATTTTGTATATTGATGAACATTTGATTTAATACTTCATCATAAACTAGTTGTAGGTTTGAAGGGTTCCAAGCTGTATTATATCAGTAATACAAACAAATCTATCGACAGAATGTATTAAGGATTATGAATATCAAAATCATCACAATGTATCATTAGAAGTCAGTTCCAAATCATACATATATACAACATACAAGACAAACGTTTGCAGACATTCAAGCAAGTAGGGGTTGAGAGTTTAATATTGAAATGTTATATTTATCAAACTACTTTCCTAATTATAGAGCTTAATATATGATATGTAAACATTACGCTTACTGATGTTATTTTCACCAAGCCATCACCGATCACCTACAAAAAAAAAAACTGACCCTACACATAGGGACACGGGTGGAGCCACGCAAACGGAAAATCTATCAACACATAGGGACACGATTGGAGCCACGCAGACGGAAAATCTATCAACACATAGGGACACGATTGGAGCCACGCAGACGGAAAATCTATCAACACATAGGGACACGATTGGAGCCACGCAGACGGAAAATCTATCAACACATAGGGACACGATTGGAGCCACGCAGGCGGAAAATCTATCAACACATAGGGACACGATTGGAGCCACGCAGGCGGAAAATCTATCAACACATAGGGACACGATTGGAGCCACGCAGGCGGAAAATCTATCAACACATAGGGACACGATTGGAGCCACGCAGGCGGAAAATCTATCAACACATAGGGACACGATTGGAGCCACGCAGGCGGAAAATCTATCAACACATAGGGACACGACTGGAGCCACGCAGACGGAAAATCTATCAACACATAGGGACACGATTGGAGCCACGCAGGCGGAAAATCTATCAACACATAGGGACACGATTGGAGCCACGCAGACGGAAAATCTATCAACACATAGGGACACGATTGGAGCCACGCAGACGGAAAATCTATCAACACATAGGGACACGGGTGGAGCCACGCAGACGGAAAATCTATCAACACATACGGACACGATTGGAGCCACGCAGACGGAAAATCTATCAACACATAGGGACACGATTGGAGCCACGCAGACGGAAAATCTATCAACACATAGGGACACGATTGGAGCAACGCAGACGGAAAATCTATCAACACATAGGGACACGATTGGAGCCACGCAGGCGGAAAATCTATCAACACATAGGGACACGATTGGAGCCACGCAGGCGGAAAATCTATCAACACATAGGGACACGATTGGAGCCACGCAGGCGGAAAATCTATCAACACATAGGGACACGATTGGAGCCACGCAGGCGGAAAATCTATCAACACATAGGGACACGATTGGAGCCACGCAGGCGGAAAATCTATCAACACATAGGGACACGATTGGAGCCACGCAGGCGGAAAATCTATCAACACATAGGGACACGATTGGAGCCACGCAGACGGAAAATCTATCAACACATAGGGACACGATTGGAGCCACGCAGACGGAAAATCTATCAACACATAGGGACACGATTGGAGCCACGCAGGCGGAAAATCTATCAACACATAGGGACACGATTGGAGCCACGCAGACGGAAAATCTATCAACACATAGGGACACGATTGGAGCCACGCAGACGGAAAATCTATCAACACATAGGGACACGATTGGAGCCACGCAGACGGAAAATCTATCAACACATAGGGACACGATTGGAGCCACGCAGACGGAAAATCTATCAACACATAGGGACACGATTGGAGCCACGCAGACGGAAAATCTATCAACACATAGGGACACGATTGGAGCCACGCAGACGGAAAATCTATCAACACATAGGGACACGATTGGAGCCACGCAGACGGAAAATCTATCAACACATAGGGACACGATTGGAGCCACGCAGGCGGAAAATCTATCAACACATAGGGACACGATTGGAGCCACGCAGGCGGAAAATCTATCAACACATAGGGACACGATTGGAGCCACGCAGACGGAAAATCTATCAACACATAGGGACACGATTGGAGCCACGCAGACGGAAAATCTATCAACACATAGGGACACGATTGGAGCCACGCAGGCGGAAAATCTATCAGCACATAGGGACACGATTGGAGCCACGCAGGCGGAAAATCTATCAACACATAGGGACACGATTGGAGCCACGCAGACGGAAAATCTATCAACACATAGGGACACGATTGGAGCCACGCAGACGGAAAATCTATCAACCAACCAATCAATCAGGTCAATTTGTTGAGTCTACGTTAGCACTGACGAATGTGACATTCTGCAGCTCCAGCTTTTAGTATTATTCTTTAGATTCGTATTTTTTCGCGTCAAAATGTACTTTACAGTTTACAATTCTTAATGATTATTTTTCACTTAATTTCACATGCGGTTACCATTTTAATCATACAAATACGGTAAATTTCAAGCCTGCCCATCAGAACACTACAGAAACCTGCCATAAACATACCTTGAAAGTAACTGATAAAATCCCGAGACATCATTCTCCCCGAACGATATTAAAGTATTTCGAAAGTTTTGAAACTTCCTTTCGCGCCGGTTTACAAGCATGTGGATACGTAAAAATTATATTTCCCGTTTGTAAACCCAATACAAAAGCAGATTTTGTCCTGAAAATATGGTTAGGATTGCAGTTGTAGGGTCCTCGCATATAAGGCGATTGAATCATGATAATGAGTTGATCTGTGGCACCACAGTATCCAAATTCCTTTGGAGAAGTGGTTGTGTAGTTGACAACTATTGAATAATTGTTGACATGATCAATATGTTTCTAAATTTAGTTCAAATGAAATATTTTTAGTGCATATTTGAATACATAAAGTAATTTCTATAGCTTTTAGTTAAAAGCCAGAAGCAGTTTTCACACATCTAAATCATACTCTGAAAGATGTCTCTGATGGTTAAGTTAATTGAAATGTCAATAAAATTAGAAAAATCTTCAATTTTTGTGTAACACTCCACACCTTGTTAAAGTTTTATCTTTAGCTCCACACGGAGATTAATTTCTCATCAAATACAGAAAGCAATCATAAGAAAACAGAATATCTATATAAAACCATCCAAACATATTTTCACATACAGTTTAAAGTTAACTTGAATTTAGTGATTAATTGCAGCATGTTAAATTTCTGGTTAGCTTGGAACTTTATAAGTTGTCATCATAAACCAAATTTATATCTTTGGCCATTCCAACACACATTTTAAATTCTTATTTTCACCTGGAGTTTACTACTGTTAACTGGACTTTAATTGATAACTTGTGTCATGTTTAGAGTTAATTGTTTAACTCCACATTGAGCTTAATTTCTAACCAAGTATATAATCTGTCATAAGGAAACATAGAATCTACTGAACCATATGAACATTTCAGGTTCTGATTTCCATCAACAATTTCTTATTATTTAGACTTTAATCATTATGCCATTGATAGTGCCATTTTGAAGTTTTTTTCCACAATTCAGATCTACATGGAGCTTGAATTCTCTCTATGTATATACCGGTATGTTATTCTGAAAAGTTTTTTCTGTCAATTATAGAATTTACTCATTGGTCTTTCACCATGAAAGGGCTTAAGTGGCTGAGTTTTAATTTGGAAATATTTGAAATACCAAACCTACAGGCATGTGTACCATTACTGGGCTTTAAGATCCAGGTTAGTGATACAGGCCCTACGGGCCTCTTGCTTTAGTGTACTGCTTATTGTACAGTGCAGCTGCTGTTCTCAGATCATTGTTATTATGCAAAACTTAATGTAATCTCTACTTCTTTTGGTCATATCA